TAGTTCACATTTATTTCAGTGTTCGATATTAGAAGGGTTTTGGGTTTTTATTTAGAAGTTTGGTGATGTTTTTGTGACCAGAAATATGCACTAGGAACCGAACTTGTTTATATCAATTAGTATAGGGTAAAATGTAGGACAAATAAGTTTGTGAACTTCACCACAGTGCGCTTACATGGTAGAAAGTTCACGAACTTAATTGTCTGACCAAGGCATATATCGTTTCGCTTAAAGTTGCATTTCCAAGAACCTAGCAATGATGACATTGGGGACTTACTGTACACGTTCCTGTCCCCAGCCAAGGTCCACGGAACATTTGCAATTTGCCTGCTTATCTGAGGCCACTGCAGTTTTTGGCTTGTAGATCCCAATTTCTCAGAAACTGCCCCCGCAGGGGCGGGGCAGTGAGCAAGTTACTAATTCATTCCCCACTTTCTCTCAGCTTCAGAAGCAGCCTGCCAGGCACTGGAGCCAAAATGAATACTCCAGCCCCTGCCTGTGCCTGTGGCATCGTGCTGGTCCTGCTCTCGCTGCTGACTGGACCCCAGACCACCACTGCTCAAAAGGTAATGGGTACCGTGGGCACCTGTTATGCGCCTGAGTTTGAGTTTTGTGAGCTTGTGAATGAAATAGAGGAGAGCCTGTGTGTGTGCAAGCGTGCGAGTATAAATGAGCGTGGATCAGTGTGTGTGCAAAGAAACAGTGCTGGTCATCCAGCAGGCACTGCCCCGAGGGCTTTATGGGCACTCTCCCATTTTACAGAAGGGCTGATCCTAGTCCCATGTTCAGGTGAGGAAATGCAGCTTAGCAAGTCGCCCCTGGAGGCCAGTAGTGGGGGTGGGTGGGTGGGAATGGGCTTTGTGAGCCCAGCTCTACCTCTCCCTGGCTGAGTGACCTCAAGGAAGTCACTATGCTTTCTCTGTCTCACTTGCCTCATCTGTGAAACAGAATATTAATAGAACCTACTTGGAGGTTTGTTGTGAAGATGAAATCTGTATACTATAAAGTGCTCAGTGCAGTGCCTGGCGTAGAGCAGACACTCACATGTACATACAAGCCACTTGGCCAGTCACCCACCGCTGTGCTAAGCTGTGTGTGCAGCTGAACAGAGCTCGTGTGTACACAAGTGCGCCGTATGCAGAAGGCAGGCAGAAGGTGTGTAAGGCTCCTCATGTGTGTACATGGGGACCTTAGACCTGCGGTGAACAGCGTATGGCTGGGTCAGTGACCTGTGGGATAGGCAGGGCAACTGGGGAGGGTCCGTGGCCGCAGAAAGGGGGCAAAGAAGATTCCCAGCTCTTAAGAGACCTGACCCTCATTATCTCCAGATTCCCCAGCTCCTGTCGGCCCCTGGAGGCAGACTGGCAGGAGCTGTTCTCCCTGATTTCTGTGGAGGCCAAGGTTGCCAGAAATCAGAGCACTTGTTTGCTGCCCTTTCACTGGGCAGAGCTAAGACCATAAGCTTCCTGATCCTGCCAGGGCCAGGATGAACGAGTCCCCTCCCAGGTTCCACCACCCCCTGCATGCTTGGCAGACTGGACCCCTGTCCTGTGGCACTGTCAGGTGGGGAATGAAGCACACTTATTCGAGAGGACGGTCCACACGTGACCTGCCTCGTGGGGTTTTGCCCGAGGCCTGGACAGTGGTTCAGTCGGGGTTGGGAGTCAGGGCTTGGTCTGGGACCTACTTAGAGAGTGTTGCCCCAAGCTCAACTGGCATTGACACAGTCCCACCCCCACTCCTTCATTGGTCCAGAATGACATCGATATCTACAGCCTCATTGTGGACTCCAAGGTTTCATCCCGATTTGCCCACACGGTCATCACCAGCCGGGTGGTCAACAGAGCTGATACTATGCAGGAGGCCACCTTCCAGATGGAGCTGCCCAAGAAAGCCTTCATCACCAACTTCTCCATGTAGGTGCCTGCGTGCCCCGCTTCTCCTCCCTCCTCCCCGACCCTCCACTGTGACACCCCGCTTCCCGATGTAACGTGTCTGTGCAACACGGGGAACCAGAGGCTTTCGCCAGGAACTCCCTACACCCTCAGATGGGTCCGTCCCGCCATCCATCCATTTCTCCTCCCCTCCCTCCTTTCCTCTCTCCCTCCTCTCTATCCGTCCCTCCATTTGTCCTTCTGTCACTCCTAAGTGCTGCCCAGGTAACAGGTGGAAAACCACGGCATCTTTGTGTCTTTGCCTTTGAGGAGTACAGACTTGGGGCAGCCCAAAGCCAATCCCAGGCAGGAGGGAGTCACCAAAAGGCAGATTCCAGCTCAGAATACAGAAAACTTCCTAACCCCTGGGCTACCCCACCATGGAGTGATGGCTTGAGGAGAAGGACCTACTTATCACTGGAAGTTCTAAGCCAGGCTAATCCCCCCACTTTCAGTTGGAATACTACAGAGAGGGCGGTTCTGCTCTGGGTCCGAGGCCGCACTGGGAGGCCCCTGGGGTTTCTGTGGACTCTGTGACCTGGTGATGATACTCACGTTGTCCTCTACTATCCTCCCCTACCCTTCCCCAACTCAGTTTTGCAATGTTTGGTAAATGCAAGAGAACTCTCTCTGTCCCTGGCCCCACAGCACAGGCAGTGATTGAGGACAAGCCAGAGAGAGGCTGATCCCAGAAACTCAGGGAGAGTGACGGGTAAAGCAGAGAGCAAGCGTCTCTCATGCAGGGTCCCCAGTGTACCCTGGAACCTCTAAAAAGCTGCAGTGGGGGCTGGGTCCCTGTGGTTGGCTCCTCCCTCTATCCCTGCCTAACCCCCTCCAGCAGCCCCTGCTTCTCCTAACCCCTGAGCCAGATCTGTGCTGCCTACCTCACAGCATGGGCTTCACAGGCTGCACTCAGCCCCCCACAGGGGTGCCAAAGCTGCCAGACTGCAAGGTTCCGGGCCCAGTGCCTCTGCTGAGAGCCCAGGACTTGCACCACTGTCTGAGCACAGACCCTGTTGCTGCATGAAATAGGGAAGTGGAGGGCAGGGTGCCCTCCTCCCTGACTTGGCTGGGACCCCCACTAGGCATCTGGGAGTTGGAGCCCTCCAGCCCCTGCACCAGCCCCATCTCTAGCCCAGGGTTAAATTATGACCAGGAAGGTCAGGATGGTGGGGAGAAAGAACACTTAGTTCTGACATCCTGGCTGCCCCCTCCCCACTTAGCTCTGCAAACGCCTACCATTTCACAATGCCCCCAGATGGGACAGGCTTATGTTTGCTTGCCACGTCCCTACTCACCCCACAAGGAGATTCTAGGGTCATCTTTTTTCCTCCCAGAACAGCCAAGGCAGTTTTCCAGTCCCAGAGAACGGCCAGTAGGATTGTATCCACACCCCTATGAGTCCCGTCCAACAGTTGTCCAAACCTACTTTCCCAGAAGCCACCGTCTCTGTAAAGTGTCCTGCCCTGTGTTGGTGGGAAGAGGAGACAGCCATGGTGGAGAGAATTCAGAGCCTTTCAGCCCTGTGTCTCCCACTGGCCCGGGATCCTGGCAGCTGCCTCCTCCTCAGTCTGCCTGGACAGAGGGCCCGGTGCAAATGCAGCACAAAGCTCTCGCTGGTGATTGACCGGTTTCTCTGGGAACAGTCAATGAGGTGGAAGGGGCAGCTGGAATGTGGGACCAGACAGACTGGGAGAAGAGAGGCTAGGACTTAGCTCAGCCCTGCCTCCTCTGCAACCTCCCTCCCCTGTCCGTTCAGTAAAACAAACGTTCACTTACCGTGTGCATGCCTCAGGGTAGATGGAGTCCTGGCATACCTTGCAGAGGCTCCCTGCCCTTACCCAGGGTCCTGCACAGAGTCTTGTACACAGTAGGTGCATAATAAATAGGAGTGGGCTCTGGTAAAGGTAGGAGTCACTCTATCAAGAGGCACATCAAGTCCTAGAGAGGCCCCCTGGAGGAGGTGGGATTGGAGTGGGCCGTCCCCATCCCCCCTTGGCTCTCAGCACTTGCCCTTCTGCCTCAGGATCATCGATGGTGTGACCTACCCAGGGAACATCAAGGAGAAGGCTGCAGCCCAGCAGCAGTACAGTGAGGCCGTGGCCAGGGGAGAGAGCGCTGGCCTTGTCAAGTGAGCCCAAGTGGGAGGCGGACCCTGGCTGAGGGCAGGCGGGGGGCGGGGGAGGCAGAAGCTGCCCCTACCTAAGCCCTTTAGCCCTGGTCTGGAGGGGCATACCTGATGCCCTCCTCCCCCAGGGCCACCGGGAGAAAAATGGAGCAGTTCCAGGTATCGGTTAGTGTGGCTCCCGCTGCCAAGGTCACCTTCGAGCTGGTGTATGAGGAGTTGCTCAAGCGGCATCTGGGCTTGTATGAGCTGTTGCTGAAAGTCCGGCCCCAGCAGCTGGTCAAGCACCTGCAGGTACCTGGTGCCGCCTCCTCCCAGGAGGCCTCCTAGATGACCCCTGCTTGGTCAAGGGCGGCCTCTTTTGCCGCTCTGCCTCCTGTGGGGCCTAGCCCTGGCTCCTGGCTAACCCAGTGACCCACTTCTTGCCTCCAGATGGACATTCACATCTTCGAGCCTCAGGGCATCAGCTTTCTGGAGACAGAGAGCACCTTCCTGACCAACGAACTGGCAGATGCCCTCACCGTCTCACAGAACAAGACCAAGGTAAGTCTGCCATGGTCAGCAGGCGAAGATGCCCTGTGAGCCTGGATTTCCAGAGAGTGGGACAATTGGGCAGAATCTCTAAGCTGGATGGACTCTGAGGTCTCTGCCCATGCTGTCATTTGGCAGACGGGGAGAGCAAGACCTAGAGGAGGACAGGGTCCTCCTGGTTTGAACCCTGAGATCAGGGGGAAAGGATTTGGAGAGGACATGGATGTGAGAGTCCCAGGACCAGGGGGAGAGAAGGAAATAGCTGATCAGACACATCCTGGGCTCAGCCTCTGCTTGCACAACAGGAACAGGGGCTCCACGCTCACACCCCCTCCCATGTACGGAGGCCATTATCTGACAGCTCAGCCAGAGATAAAGTTCCCTAGGATTTGACCCAAGGCTGCATCTGGAATTCTCATTTTAGACGGACTGAGGGGTATTGTTGGCCTGGCCTTGCTGCTCCTCCCAACTTCAGCCTTGTCCTTTCTTCAGGCTCACATCCGATTCAAGCCAACGCTCTCCCAGCAACAGAAGTCTCCAGAGCAACAGGACACAGTCGTGGATGGAAACTTCATCATCCGCTATGATGTGAACCGGACCCTCTCTGGGGGGTCCATTCAGGTGTGTGGGCTCTGGGCAAGAAAGGCAAGGCAACCTGGAAATCCATCCACCCTCGAGAGCCTCAGCCTGGATGTTCTAAAAGAAAAGGCAGAGTAACTGCTCCTACTTACCAGTATGCACCAGGGACAGCACAGACAGAAGACAATCAGTTTAGTTATGTTGTCCCTGAAAGAATTCCCTCTCAGAGGCAAAAATGTTTCATCTCTGCTAATGAAGTGCCCTGCAGGGTTTCCCTCATTGCCTTGGCTGCCAGGAAACACAGCTCAGTTTTATGCTCAATTGCATTAGCTTCTTTTGCAGAAGTTTCTAGCATCATTGTGCTTCCCCTTTACTCTATTGATGGATTTTGTTTTTGAAGTCTTCATTCTTTTGATCGATCTCAGATTTATTAAGTCTTTACCATTTAGTGGAAGCTGACTCAAATACTCAAATAAGAGGTAAAGTGTATGTCGGGTCCTAGTGGGCCATACATGAACAGGGAACTTATTCAACAAGAGAGGGGCTAAGACTGAGCCCTCAAAGATGGCAGGCATTTAGGGAGGTTAGCAGTTGGACAGAGGGAGAGGGGCTGGAATGAAGAGAGCATGAGGACCAGAGGATTGGAAGTGAGGAGGCTGTGTGGGACAGAGTAGGGCTGCAGCTCTTGTCACCTGCGATGTGTCTCACTTTGGTCACAGATCGAGAATGGCTACTTTGTGCACTACTTTGCCCCTGAGGGCCTGCCCACGATACCCAAGAATGTGATCTTTGTCATTGATAAGAGTGGCTCCATGCAAGGCAAGAAAATTCAGCAGGTAGGTCACACCATCAGATGCCTCACACCATCAGCTCTGGTCCAGCAGGCAGACCCTCCCTCCTCCATCTTCCTAGGTAGGGGGCTTCCAGGTATTGAGGTTGGTCAGAGTATGGGGAAAGTTCTGCCCCTAGAGCATTCGCCATATCCCCACTCCAGATGCAGGCCCAGGAGTGCAGCCCAAAGGCACAGGAGCCCCCAGTGAGGCTCCACTAAGACACCCACCTCGTCTTCCCTTCCCCTGCCCAGACCCGAGAAGCCCTAATCAAGATCCTAGATGATCTCAGCCCCAAAGACCAGTTCAACCTAGTCAGCTTCAGTGGGGAAGCAACCCAGTGGATGCCGTCACTGATGCCAGCTTCGGCAGAGAACGTGGAGAAGGCCAGGAGCTACGCTTCTGGCATCTGGGCCCAAGGAGGTGAGTGTCTCTGCAGCCCTGCAGGGTGGAGGCTTCCTGGGCACTGAGCCCCGCCTGGGAGCCACCCTGAGAGTGTGTGCCCCTCAGGGACCAACATCAATGGCGCGATGCTGATGGCTGTGCAGCTGCTGGACAAAGCCAACCAGGAGGAGCTGCTGCCCTTTGGGAGCGTCTCCCTTATCATCCTCCTCACCGATGGCGACCCCACCGTGGGTGAGGGCACTGCCAGCAATTCCTGGGCGCGCTGCCCAGAGGGAGCAGCTGGGGCTCCACCCTGGCTTGCTGTGGGACCTGGGATGGGGGTGAGGGGGAGTCCCTGAGGTCCCCCTGGCTCTGAGATTCCAGAAATATCCCTTGAGCAAATTACTGTTTTCTCAACCCCTTCCCAAACCACTGTGTCCAGGGGAGACCAACCCTAAGAATATCCAGAAGAATGTGCAGGATGCCATAGACGGCCAGTATAGCCTCTTCTGCCTGGGCTTCGGCTTTGATGTCAGCTATGCCTTCCTGGAGAAGCTGGCACTGGACAATGGTGGCCTGGCTCGGCGCATCTATGAGGACTCGGACTCTGCCCTGCAGCTCCAGGTGCCAACCTGCCCCCATGGGCTGCCTGAGTGAGGGATGGCTCAGAGAGTTGGGTAGACCCCCGCTCGGCCCTCATGACACCCCCCACCCTGCAGGACTTCTACCAGGAGGTGGCCAACCCACTGCTGACAGCGGTGGCCTTTGAGTACCCAAGCAACACCGTGGAGGAGGTCACACAGGACAACTTCCAGCTGCTCTTCAAGGGCTCTGAGATGGTGGTGGCTGGGAAGCTCCGGGACCAGGGCCCTGACGTGCTCACAGCCAAAGTCAACGGGCATCTGGTGAGTGTGGCCAGCCATCCTGGAGAGCAAGGGCAGCTGGAGCAGGCTTTCGGAGGGGCTCGGTTCAAACCCCCGCCTTGCCACACTCCAGCCGATTGACCATGAGCAAGTTACACAGTGCCCCTTGCCACTTGTGGATGACATCAGTCCCTACTGCATGGCTCATAGTGGAGATTCAGTGAGATGATGTCTTGATTCTCCTGGAGCACCCGTGCTGTGCCTACGTCGGGTAGGCATTCAGTGGCCAGTCTGGGCTGCTAGGTGCCTGGCGTTCCCTCCCATCCTCACACCAGCCCTCTGAAGTTGCACAAAGGCAGGGAGGGCTGCTCCCGCTTCACAGATGAGCAGACTGAGGTCCAAACAGGGCAGGCACCTTGCCCTGGGCCCCACTGCCGCTGGGTCAGGAACTCCGCTCGCCACGTGGTGCCCTGTTCCTGCCCGGCCCTCCCTGCCTCTGTGCCACAGGGGGCCCTCTCATTCCACAAAGAGAAACTGAATCGACACACAAACGAGGAGCTGCCAGTTGGGATGTCCCTGACAGGGCAAACCCGGGGACTCAGAGGAGCAGCACTAGGAGCTCCGACCTGGCCTGGGGGTCAGGGAGGGCTTCCTGAAGGAAGTTCAACAGACGATGGGATGAGTAGGAAGTGGCAGGGGTCAGATGGCGGAGTGATGGAAGAATGTTTCAGGCTTTCATGGCGGGCGGGCAGGCTGTGCAGGGAGAACGGCAGGTGGGCAAGGCAAGCGGACATGAGGGGCCCAGGGCCTAGCTTGAAAGAAGGGGCGAAGTGTCACAATGTGTCACGATGGGCAGTGCATGCCGAGTGGCAGCTCGCTTGGCTTCTTGGCTTCAAACCCCACTCTGCCACCTCCTGGGGGTGAGGAAAGAGAAGTCACCTAATCTCTCTGTGCCTCAGTTTCCTCCTGTGTAAAAGCAAGAGTCGGTCACCTTACCCACCTTGTAAGGGCTGCTGTCTGGCTCAATGTAAACACTCCATACATGTTAGCTGCTGGTATTCTCCTGGAGGCCAGGAGTCCCCAAAGTGCAGAACCCAAGGTGACTCAGGGTAATTCACAAACAAACGGGTCTTTGTTTTAGTAGTTATGTATTTGTTTTAATATGTCTTCTGAAAAAATATAACTCAAACCTCAAACATAAGATTTCGTAGGTAATTTGGCTTGGATGGAGGCTAAATGAAGAGTGTTAGTCTATTTAAAGTTCATTTAAGGGAAGTTCATTTAAGGAAAACCATCAAATACTAGCTGTGCGTGTGGATAGGGCAAAATTTGTGCAGGTGACCTGTGTGGGGCACAGCTTTGGGAGGCTCGGTTCTGGGTGAGAGGCCGAGGAAGGTGGTTTCAGCAGGGGAGGCAGAATCTGACCCACACAGAAAAGGTCTTTGGCTGTTTTGGGAGTTGTGACGAGAGAGGGCTGGGGTTCCTCTGCCCCTGAACCCCATTTCCCAGGCTGCTGGCCAGGTCAGCCTGAGACCAGAAGGCCCTACCCTGGGGAAGGAAGCAGCAGTCCACCCAGAACTTGGGTACATGCCTTACTGTCACCACTGCATAGTGCCCAGCAGAGGGTACCAACTTGGGCAGGGGACAGCTTGTTTGGGCCCCAAATCCAATCAGGGCCATGCCACCTGAGTTCTCTTCTCAGCTCTGCCACTGACTGCTGGGGAATGCGCTGCCCTCTCTGTCCTCAGAGTCTCCATGGTTGAGGTGGGGTGGGCTGTTGTCTGGGGACCCCACTTGCTCCACTGCACTTGCAAAGCCTTCGTGCTGCTGTTTCTGCAGCCTGGGGTCCAGATCCCCATCCACATTTCCCTTTCTCCCAAAGGCTCCATGTGATCTGAGCTCCTGGCTCTGCACCTGCGGCATTGCACCTGGGTTGGTTTCTACCTTTTCTCTCCATCTCCGTCTCATCCTTGGGGGGCTCTGCAACTGAGCCCCTCGTAACCCTAAACTCCTTCCCTATCCTCCAGTCTACTCAAAGGAAATGCGGTCCTCAGGACCTTCCCCAGCTCCAACCAGGTTTATCATGGAAGTGCTCGGAAGTGCCAGGCCAGGTGTGGGCATCAGGCCCTCACTGCTCCTGTCTTGGCTGGGCCCCTCTTTCCAGCTCATGCAGAACATCACCTTCCAAACGGAGGCCAAGGTGGCAGAGCAGGAGAAGGAGTTCCAGAGCCCCAAGTACATCTTCCACAACTTCATGGAGAGGCTCTGGGCGTACCTGACCATCCAGCAACTGCTGGAGAAAATGTGGGTGATCTGTACCCTCAAGGGCCCACCGGGGCAGCCACACTCAGCCTCAGGACCTCCCCAAGCTCTCCACTGGTGGGGCAGGCACAGCTGGCATGGGGCATGGAGAGTTGTAGTATCATGTCTGAGCTCCAGACTCTCCCAGCAGGAACCTGCCCCCACCCCCACAAGGGTCTAGAAGGGAGGGAGAATCTAAGTAGGCCTCCAGGGACTTGCTGAGCCTCTGATGCTTCTCAACCTGCAGAGTTTCCGCATCAGATGCTGAGAAGCAGGCCCTCGAAACTCGAGCTCTGGGCTTGTCACTCAACTACAGCTTTGTCACCCCCCTCACATCCATGGTAATCACCAAACCTGAAGGCCAAGAAGAGTCTCAAGTTGCTGAGAAGCCCGTGGAAAATGGTGGGTGTGAGAGTGGGCTCCTAGCCTCCGTGGCAGCAGAGTTTTGACCCAGCATTCTCCCAGTTCCCAACCAAGATGCTAACCTTGCCACTCAGACTCTCAGGATCCTCAGGAGACTCATCCCATTTCATTGATGTAGAATCTGAGGCCAGGTCTCCCAACACTTCCTTCCCCCAAGTTCTATGTAGTGCTGGGGTTGGGAAGCAACGTTACATATAAGCACTTCAAATTGTTCAAAACCAATCCAACAGTTGTGTCTCTTTCTCTCTTCTCTATTTTTTTGTTTTATCCAGAAAACAGACACAGGGACATCCCCTCAGGTAAGGGCTTAATACATTTAAAGCAGCGGTTCTCAACCTGTGGGTCATGACCCCTTTGGGGGTTGAACGACCCTTTCACAGGGGTCGCCTAAGACCATCGGAAAACAAAAAGATATTTATGTTACGATTCATAACAGTAGCAAAATTACAGTTATAGAGTAGCAACGAAAATAATTTTATGGTTGGGGGTCACCACAACATGAGGAACTGTATTAAGGGGTCGTGGCATTAGGAAGGTTGAGAGCCGATGATTTAAAGGCTGGCCTGGGTGACAGTTGGCTTACAGGGACTAGGACACCAGTCCCACAAGGTTGCTGGCCAGGGCCTGTCCAGCTCAGCCCTGCTGCTGGGAGCGGGAATCATCTGCCCAAGCACACTGATGCATTTTGTCACCTGTTCATTCAGATTTTGGCTGTCCTGGGCCCTAGGGACACAATCTCCATCTGGCTGGATGCACACTTAGGCTTCTCTGATTTCCAGGTCATGCTGTCCTCAGATCTCAGGCCATGGGAAACAGAAAGTTCAGAAAAACAGGTAGCAAAGGAGGAGAGGGAGGCGGCGGGGGCAGATTGACAGAACCTTGGCCACAGACTGGGCTCTGCCCTGGCTGTAGGGATAGTGACTTGCTTGGCTCGCCTGGCTGGTGGCAGGGCTGGGACTCAAAATTCAGGTGTGTCTGATTAGGAAGCGGCTCTGCAGACTCTTGGCTCGCTAACAGAGGAGGCTTTGGAAGACAAGGTAATTTAAAGATCATTGCTGGGGAAGGGGGTGGCCAATATCCTAGCAGAGGGGAGTTCAAGAAGGGCCCATTGTTCCAGCTCAGAATTTCTCCTCGCCATGGGGAGAGAGGCTCTTAGAATGGCAGGTGTGGGGAGATAGCTGGCCTTGCCGTATCCCTCTCCTCAAGTGGGTCTCAGAGCCATGGCTGTGGGGACCCATGACACTGCCCAAAAGAAGAATGCAGGAGTTAACTTTTCTAAAGCTGGAGCTCCTGGGAAGATACCCAGTTTATCAAGATATAAGTCACCTGGACCTGTTCATTATCGTCATCTTCCTTCTCATCCAGTCTATGATATGTCCCCGGTTCTGATGGGAGCAGACTTTGGTAAGCCACTTTCTGACCTCAGAGGGTCTTGTTAACCCAAGGTGATAATTAAACCTGTCCGTAGAGTTGGATGTGAGAAAGCACCAAGCACAGAGGTGGGCACAGACCAGGGAGAGTTTCTGTGAGGCAAGACATTAAAGTCATGTGTCCTATATTTTCACTGAATCAGATTCATCACACTCTGGAGGCTAGCTCAGGATGGAACCTTTTAGAAAGGGAAGGCTTCCTCCAGTCCCAGAACCATCCAAGGTCTCTCAAGCTGTTTCTGATCTCCAAATCTGGACTTAGACACAGCTGCAGAGCCAGGCTGGACTCTGTCTTCTTAGTGTTTTTCCTAATAGAGTGCTCTTCTGTTTGAAAATCTCTTCATAAAGGCTCTCCTTGGTTAGATGTACGTGTGGCAGCGGGTGCAGGGCTGGAACGTGGTGGGTGGCAGGTGGCAGTGATGGCTAGAGGGCGTGCTAGTTGCTCTGAATCCTGACTGCTTTCTCCCTTTCTGTTTCTGGCTGATTCTGCCCTAGGGCCCTCTTTGGAATCAGCCCCCGCTGGTCCCGATGGAGTATTTTATGACATGGATTTAAGAATCACAGGTAACCGCAGACAGGAGCCCCTGCAGGAGACTGCGGCCCTCTAGCAGGGAGACCTGGGTTGGGAGAGCGGGGATCTCTGAGAACCTGTCGTATGGGTTTCTCAGTGTTGACGTGAAGAAGGGACTCTGGCCACACCTGTCCACTACTCCAGCCTTCAACTTCCCCCTGGGAAGGGGATATCTAAACCCAGACTTTTTCTTCTTTCAGAAATAACCATGACAGCCCCACCCCCAGGTAAGCAGCCAGTCCCCCTGAGCCCTTCTCCCCATCCTTGCCCTCCAACCTGCTCTACCTGCCCCAGGAACCTCACCTGCTGTCCCAGCCCCCATCCAGGCTCCTTCTGTCATCCTGCCTCTGCCTGGGCAGAGTGTGGACCAGCTCTGTGTGGACATCAAGCATTCTCAGGGGCCAATGAACCTGCTCTCAGACCCTGACCAAGGTGAGAGGTGCACACCCAGTCATCCACTCAGAGAGACCCAGACACCACTCACCCTCAACTAACCACGCTGGAGACAATAGTGGGTCACCTGCCCATGGGAGCACGTGGGCAGAGCTTGCCTCATGTGGGCCTGTCTGAAGTCAAGGCATGGTCACGCCCCTGAGCACCGACACTTGCACTCATACATTTACCCCACAGGCCTTTCACTGGGTACCACATATTCAGGTCTGGATGGCCTGGCACTCTGGGGCGAACAGGAGTGGGCTTGCCTCTAGGCATCGTCATAATTCAGGGGTGGAGAGATGTAACTGGATGCACATAAGCACAGTGGCCTGTAGTCAGTGCCCAGAACAACGTGGAGACAAGTCCAGAGGAGAAGGCAAGGGCTGTCTGAGGGTCAGGGGTGGTTGCACAGGGTCACACAGGAGAGACAGGGTCTTGGCAGATAGTGGGGTCCACCAGGCAGAGGAAAGGGTAGGCAGAAGCCCAGAGCCCCGAAAGATACTAGTGGGGCTGTAGAGAGTATGGAGGAGGTGAATGGTAGGAGGAGGGAGGTATGCTGGCCAGACCTGCCCCCCAACCCCCAGAAGAGTCTTACTGGTTGAGTTGAGGTGTCAGGTTAGACATGGCAATGGCCAGCACTGAGGGATGCTCACACAAACACAGTCTCCCACTTCAGCAAGCCAGGCCCAGCGTCTGTTTGCTTCCTGAGGGTAGGCACTACTGATTATCCATCTCGCTCTTGGCCATGGGACCTAGCTCAGGACCAGGGGCTTTAGAAATGGCAATTGACTTCAGACAAGATCTCCCTTCTCAGAGGGCTCATCTGAAGGTGGCAATCACTGAGGATTTTGGGGGCCCTTCCATAGCCACATGGAACCAAGGGATGAGTGAAAAGATTGTGGAAACCATGCTGTAGTGTGAGGGAATCCTGGGGAAGGGGTGCCGAGGAGGGGCTGGTGAAGGATGGTTCTGGGGGACATAATCAGGGAAGACCTCCTGTTCAGGCCAGTGCCCAGCTGGGGCCATAGCTCTGACCTCTGAGTTCCTGGCCATCTTAGGGGTTGAGGTGACTGGCCAGTATGAGATGGAGAAGGCCCAGTTTTCGTGGATTGAGGTGACCTTCAAAAACCTCCAGCTGCAAGTCCGCGCGTCCCCTGAGCACGTGGTCGTGACTCGGAACCGAAGAAACTCTGTGTACAAGTGGAAGGAGACACTGTTCTCGGTGATGCCCGGGTAAGCCTCGAGCTGGGTAGCAGCAGGGACCTCTTAGCTGGTGACAGTGCTGACAGGTTGCCTGAGGCCACAGGCCTGGGGATGGGGTGCCTGGGCTGGACATGCATCCTCTGTAGTGGGCTGCACCCACAGCATGAGAAGAAATGCAGAGAGCCTGCACCATACCCCTCCTGATCTAGAGGGCACCAAGGGATTATCCTGGGGACGTGGCTGCCCTCACACCTAACCCAGGTCACTCTCAGTGCAGAGGGGACAGTGTGGTTTGGAACTAGCTCTGCTGCTAATCCTGTGTGACTCTGGGCAAGATGCTTAGCCCCTCTGAGCCTCAGTTTTCTCACTTATAATGGGATAATCACCCCAGCCCTGAATTAGAAGCTAAGGGGAGACCCAATGAGAGAATGTGGCCAGAGGGCACTTTGACCATTAGAAGGAGCGGTGCCCGCTGGGCATGCTGGAGGGCAGCTCTCTATATGCTGAGATAATGAGGACAATAATGAGAATTTCAAGGGCACTGACCCCTAGGGGAGGCTATGAATATTATCCTTAACATACTCTTGAAGCTCTGATGAGGAGAGACAAGTTTATCTGGTGTCAAACACTGGACAGCTGGTGGGTAATGGAGATGGATGTTGACCTTTTCTGGGTGGTGCTGCTGCACTGTAGAGCCTTCCAGAAACAGCTCTCCAGCTCTGGAAGTTACAAGGGGCCTGGGAGAGAGGCCAAGGACCCTGGCCCTGTTTGAGCATTGCCCTCTGTGACACCAGCCTGTGCTGAGTACAAAGAACCTTGTCCATTCCCTCTCACTGAGCCCCTCAGCAGAAACTGGTTTCCACTTGACAAATGAGTTAGCACCTAGCAAATTTGAGAGGCTTACCTGAAAACCTCCCAATTTCATAAAAGATCTTCAAGTTTCTCGTTATCTGATAAATACACAAAGATTGATAGCATTTTTATGCCTTGGACATACACACCAGAAGATGGAATCAAGAATTCCTACTAATCGTAGTGACAGAGAGTCCACATCCTTTCATGAGCTGCAGAAGATACATGTGAAGAAAAACAGACCATACCTCCTACATTGAAACACAAGACAGTGTAATTTTAGTGTAAGTCCATTTAAAATAACCTCAGAATAACACCACGGTCTTATTCAACATGCTTGAAGGAGCCTAACATTCCTAAGAAAACCAAAATGGCAAGCATTTCAAAGATTATTTGAAGTAAAAAAGAAGAGAATAGAATGAGAAGACACTTGCCCTTTTAGAAATTAAAACACACTAATCAAAAGAGAGTAGCACTAGCCATAAAAACAAAAGGGACAGAGTAAATCTATTAGATACCCCCCTGAATCAAATGAAAAGAATTCATGAGAAACCAGAAAGGAATTCTAAGAAAGGAATTCTAAGAAAACTAGAAGGAAAGGAACCATTATTTTGTTTTATAAATGCTGGGATCACCAGATACTAAATTAACTTTGGTCCCAGTTCACTGACGAGGAAACTGAAACCCAGAATATTTAATGGACTTCCCATCCAAGGCCACAACAGGAATTCCTGAGGACAAGTGGGCGGGCCCCCACCGCTCCCGTCCCAGCAGCAAGGTCCCCTGCAGGCCTCTCCATGTCTGCCGTCCTCTCAAGACCCTGGGTTTCTCCACAGCCTCAAGATGACCATGGACGAGGCAGGGCTTCTGCTGCTCAGCAGCCCAGACAGAGTGACCATTGGCCTGCTGTTCTGGGATGGCCCTGGGCAGGGGCTCCGGCTCCTTCTGCGGGACACTGACCGCTTCTCCAGCCATGTCAGCGGAACCCTTGGTATGCTGCCCATGGCCGCAGGCTCGATATCCTCAGAAACTGCCTCCGCCTTTGAACAGGCAGTGCCTGCTCTTCTGCGTGTCTCCCAACCGCCGGCCTTGATCCTTTGCTGACTCGCCCTTTGTCTCCCAGGCCAGTTTTACCAGGACCTGCTCTGGGAGCCCCCAGCAGCAGATGATGACAGCAAGCGAACACTGAGTGTTCAGGGGCATGACCACTCTGCCACCAGGTGATTCAGCGCAAACAGACCACTGCGCCTGGCCAGGAGTGGGGGCTGGGAGGCTGAGAGCTGGTCTTTGGGGGCCACCACTCCCCTGTCCTTGTTGGGGACCTAGAGGTAGCCAAGTGAAAGATTGATGCCTTTAGACATGTCTGACCCAGCTCTCAAGACCCCACAAAGGACTGTCCACTCAGACCCACAGAAAACACACCAGCCCAGAGATCACTAGGGTGAATTGAGGGTCGTAGGAAACTCTCCCTGAATTCTCAGAGCCCTGGACCCTGGAGAACACACATAACTGAGTTCCCTTGGGTGACTAGGCCTTGTCAGCCTGTGCTACAGGGAGTTCTATGGGGCCCCGAAACTCCACCCTCCATGTTCCTGTCCCCAGCTCTCTCCCTCTCTTGCCACCACACCTGAGACTTGCTGATCACCTGTCTGTCTCTCTGTACATCTACCCATCTCAGAGAACTCAAGCTGGATTACCAAGAGAAGGCCCCAGGAACAGAGATTTCCTGCTGGTCTGTGGAGCTGTAGTTCTCATGGGAGGAGTTACGCCTACTCTACTCCCCATGCCGCCTCACTGTGTGCAGATGGCTGTCATCTTATGGAGCCTGGACTGTGAAGGGGAGAGGAGTTCCACTCATTACAAATAAAGAAAGGTGGTATGAGCCTAAGGAGTGGGTGTCTGATTCCATCAGGCCAAGCCCCAGGGCCTCAGAATTGCTTCCTAGACACTTAGCACTGTGTGACAGTAGAATTCCCCACTGACAGCCCCTCAAAGGCCTGTGGCCAATAGGACCATGGAGAGCTTTCAGTCCCTTCCTTTTACAAGGAGGGAAGCTAAGATTTAGAGATTAAACCACCCATTTCACTTGTCACTCCAGCCACAGCTGGGGGTCTAGGGCAAGAGAACATCCTCTGGGAGCAAAAGTGCAGCCTCAGTCCACGAAAACCTGCTTTGATGCCCAAAGAGAGTGAACTGGGTAGAGCTTCTTTACAGGCCAGCTCCCAATCTCTGCAAGCTTTTGGGCCCATTGGCAATGGGATTGGCATGACACTATTTGTTTTCACACCTGTGCTCAGGAGCAGGCCTATCTCCTCACCAGCCTGTGAAGAAGCTAGCACTGGAAGACAAAGGAGACAGTGATGAGGCCCCTGTCCCAGGAGGGAAGCAAGTATCTATTCCCAAAAGCCTCCAGTCTCATGGTGGTGACCTAGGCCCCCAACTCTAAATCCTGGGCTGTTGAGTATCTCCTCTCCTATCCAATGCCCAGGGTAAGGCATTTCAAAGATTCCACCAATTCCTGCATAGGCAAAGTATACTTAAAAAACATGTGGGCCGGCCAAGTGGCACGATGGTTAAGAACTGGCTTGGGATGCCAGAGGGCCCCGGTTCGGATCCCACATATGAGGGCCAGTGACACTGCCCT